TTGTGCAATCTTTGTATCCCAAGCTTGGATCCCAAAATCTCCCTTCGGTCTCGGTATGTTTACGAAGACGATCAGGGGACACCCCAATTAGCTAGGGACTGAGATGAACCCATCTGCACAGCCTATGAGTCTATGAGTTTCATCTGAAGGGCGTCGATGGAGTCATGATGATTCATGTGCCCATGTGCTAAGCCTCATAGGAGTCTCTTTGAGTTTCTTTCCACCAAGCTTCTGCTCCCACAACTCTCGGGAGGCCCATTGCTCCATAGAGAGCTCCTGGCGTGACCCACCACGTCAACACGTAGGCATTTGTCAAGAATCTGGCACACAAGTCACAGCAGACTCCTTGATTGAAATCCTGCTGATATGTCCACTTGGTCCCAAAAAGTACAAACTGCTCCAAACGTGCATGAACCCTGCCTGTTTCAATCCTCTTCGCTGATCATCATCCAAGTCCTCATCGACAAACACTCACATCATTCGCAGAGTATCCACAGCGGCCCTGCAGAGGGCTCAAATTAAGAACACGTCCTCACCCTCTTCAAGCTTTTCTAGACAATGCGCACAAGAGCTGTCGTGTCCTCCACTGGCTCTGCCCGCTTCCACTGGGACACCTCCGCTCCGCAGGTGAATGGCTCTCGGCCCGTGGTTGCAGCTGGCACAAGTTCGTAGTGTATACAGGCCTCCCCTACCCTCCTTGGGTCTACTACTCCAGTCATGATACTAATTAAGATAGTGGTCTGGCCTTTGTCTTCCAAAATGAGAGATGTCCAAATCAGGCTTTTAAAAATTGTAAAAACGGTGTGCACCTTCGGACGCAGTCTCACCGGCTGCAAGGGCCTTGGTGGCCATCGTGTTGGGCTCAGTGAGGAAAAGGATCGAGAAAGTCGAACCTCTTTCAGATCCAACTCTAATGTTGGAGGCAATCGCCATTAGGTTGGAGGCCATCGCTATTAGGTTGGAGGCCTTCGCTAGTAGGGTTGGAGGCCATCGCTACTAGGGTTGGAGGCTGTAGCATTAGGAATCTCGAAGAACCACCACTTCCTGGAGGGGGGGACACCTTGCGAAGTGGATTTGTGTTGAAACGTAATGAAGTTGAACCCAAATCTCTCAAGCCTTACTTTCAGCGCGGCAACAGCTTGCAGCTCCCATTTGTGATCTCCTTTCGCCGAGCAACTCTTCCCTTTGGCCCTCCACCGCAGCCTGCTCTGCCTGGGTCAGGTATCAATTCTGCTGGATCCTGCTTATATCTGACAGCTTTTCTTCAGTATATGTTGACAGCTTTTCTCCACGCACTCTTAAACCTGTCTCAATCGAACGGACGAAACACAAGCTCACTAGGAGCAAAGGGCATCGCTACTAGGAGCAATGTTCGCTACTAGGGGCTCCTGGCCGTACTACTAGGAACAAGAGGACGCTCCTAGGGGCAAATCTTCCAGAACAACAAGCGAAACAAATCTTCCATCAGCGTCGAGTCAAACCTCCACCAGCACCTCATCCACCATCTTGCGAACCCTCAGTCCATCGCAAATTCGCGCTCCACCGTCCAAAACTGAAGGAAACGCTCCACACGTGGGCCCCAAAAGAATTCATCCGTTCGAAGTCCGGTCGCGTGCCATGTACGTGTGACTTTGAGCATGTCATCTTCCCGAGTTGGAAGTGCCTTGATGGGCAAAGAAACATCATAAAACACCTGTACAGCACATCTATTTCTAAGGATGCCACAAGTAATGCCTTTTTGGTGCCGGCTGCCCCTCCCTTTTCTGAGGCCCGGTGCTCTTTGGTGCATTTTCTGAGCTCCGTCTGGGTGCCTTTGCGCACCTGAACCAAATGGTATTGCAGCCACAGGATGCGTGAAAACGTGGTATATATCCCTCAGCAGTTTCATCTTCTAGTGTCTCAAGCCTGTCTGCACAAAATGCTTCTCAGAGGTTCAAGGAATCTCATGAGGACTCTTTTTGCTCAGAGTCAAGCCCAGGAGGCTACCAGGGTAAGCTTCATCTTGCCCACGGAACCTCAATGGGCGAACTCGACGGCCGCAAGACAAGGTTCCAAGTTCCTTATGTTCAGGCACTGCAACAGGTAGAATCCGCTCAAAACCATTACTCTAGATCTGGCGCAAATTCTGCAGTGCTCTCAACCAATAGCTCACACATGTCCCATCAATTCGGACTACAGGTGCTTCATGACCATTGAGCATCTGGCATATGGACTCTGTTGCCTGCGCGAGCACCCCAGCATTTCAACTCATCACTCTAATCCACAAAAGTGCGAACCGGTACCACCCCTATAGTCTATAGTGGACTCCTTGGACGTGTCACTGAGAAATACCCGGCCTTGGAGGGCGTGAAGAAGTGGCTCACCAGGCGTTGAGATTGGCTTTCCTCACAAAGAGCAAAAATCTTCAAGTATCTTCAAGTGTTTTTTCTGAGATCAGAGATGATGAGTAGCTTTCATATCTTTCATTCTTTAGTTCTTTCTGTATATTCCATTGCACCTATTTATGATGCGAATTCAGTTGACAGTTCGTTCTCTCCTTTCTCTCCCATTCCCTTCACTCCTTCTTGGAAAGGGTCACCAAGTCCACTTCAAAGTGGCCAGTCCTTCTTTTGCTCCTCCCGGTCAGTCTAGCATTTCTGCGAAAGGTGGAAAAAGGTGGAGAACTCTAACCTCTTCAGGTGTTTGTGGGCTTTTGTCCGTGTCGACTGGCTCTGCTGGCGCCTGTTGTCAGGGCGAGCAGCGCCTGCGGAAGGCTTGTCAGAATGCTTTCCGCTCTTACTAGTAACATTCTAGCAACAAGCCAGCATAGTGTTATTGTTACTGTGTTTTCTGCTTTGGCATCACTTTAGGGTCACTTGGATTCACTTGGATTCCAGCTCTCAACTCGGCCAGAAATCAGGTCTTGCCTGGTGTCTTCTCCTCGACAAAGACTTCAGCACGAATGACCTCAATTTTGGAGTACAAGCTTCAAGCTTACAAGGAAAAAACTGCTAAACATGGGATGTTCTCATCCATGAAGGGATCAGGCTTGTTTTTGTAAAAGCTCAAATGGGCGTAGACCACACGGCTAGGCAACGGAAATGACCAAGACTAGTCCACGAACTGCGAAGATCTTCCGATCGACTATGAAAACGCCTGGTGGGTTCACACGATTTTGGAACCTATCCAGGGACTTAACCAAGATGAACACCCCAGCTTTGTTTTTGGCCAACGACCGCACCACAGGTCTCGTCCAAAGCTGTCACAGGCCTCGTCAGGTTGCTTCGATCCAGCCATGAAGAACTCCCACACCTTGAAGCCAAAAGGTGCTGTCCATGTGGTGTGGGGACGCAAAGCGAAAGAAACTCAATGTCCGATTGGTGGCTATAGAAATCTATAGAAGCCAGCAGGGATGTAGATGTCAGGAATTTTAGAAACACAAGAGACAACTAATGGTGGACTGGAACGATAATCTCTCGCAGGCGAAAAGGTCTTGTGCCAAGTGTGTTTCCAGAGGCAGCTTCGTGCTCTCATGTGGCAAGCATGACTCCGAGATGAGTGACATGAAACGCATTGCATGATCAAAGGCCCTGCATGTCAGGATAGTCCTCAACTGTCTTTTGGGTCGGGCCCCTGGCAGTGTTGTTTCAGGCATTCCCGAAGCTTTCAGATATCTTGGCTTGGTTTGGGAGCCTCTCTGTGGTGTCTTGGGCCTTGTCATTGAGGGAAGTTGGGCAAGAGTTGTGAGTAGCATCGCTTCTGCTTTATTCCCCAACAGCAAAGCTAGCCAGGGAGCATCATCCGGAGAGCAGGTTCCGGAGCAGGTTCAGAAGAAGGTTCCGGCGCAAGTTCCGGGGCAGGAGCGGGTTCCGGAGCATGTTTGGGGAGGTTCTGGAGCAGGTTCCAGAGCAAGTGTCGCAGCAAGTTTCAGATATGGTGACATGTTGTGATGCAAACGTTATTGAGATGCTGTCATGCCGTCAAGCAACCACGCTTGTACAGCGTGCATGTCATGCGGACATTGAAACATGAATGGTGCCACTCTGTCACGCTAAGTTGCAAACAGGCTATCATGCTGCCGTGCTGTAGCTTTTCTGATAGGCTAACATGTTGTCCTGTTGACATGCTGAGGTGTTGTCCCGCCGATATGCTGACATCGGTTTCAGATTGGCTTGTTGTATATAATGCTGTCATGCGGACGTGTAGAGGCATGTTGTCGCGCTGATATGCTGGCATGGTGTCACGTTGACATGTTGTCGGGTTGTCATGCTGACATGTTGCCACACTGGCAGACTGTCCGGTCAATCCTTTCGTGCTGACATGCTGGGAGGCTCCAGAGCACATTGTGCCGCCAACATATTGCCTTGTTGGAATACAACATGTTTCAAAGCAGCGTTGTGTGGAACAGACACAACCCCTGATGATAAACTTGTGATGTTGGCATATATTATATATATAGGTGTCTTTTGCGAACCAAGAGAGCAAACCTCCCTGTCTCTTGTTCTTGCAGCATTGTCAACTTGAGTTGCAAGCCCGACCTACAAAAGGCCCCAAAAACAAAGCTAACCCTCATGACCAACCAGGTTCGATTGCCGACCCGAAGAAACCTCTGATCCAATGGCCTCATCACCACTGGCCCAAATGAACAGCCCATCCGGAGCACGCCTCAATCGACGCCAAAACACGAGTTTCGCAGCAACTCGGGCGGGAGCGGCGCACCCCGTGTCGGCGCGACCATGTGTTCGGATCGCTGTTTTGGGCGCGCACGGCTTTGGTCAATTTGGAAACACTACAGACTAGAGTAGTGTACCAATACTCTGTGAGACAGTGGCTCCTTTGTCCAGCATAACATGATTTGCACACATATATCGAGAAAATGGCAAATGAGAGGCTGGTCAGCAGGTCAATCACAAAAGGCATGAAGGCAATTCACCCAAAGTGATACACCCAAACATGAAAGCAAGAAAACCCGCTGCCGAACCTCGCTCCAGCCAGGCTTTGCAAACGTCTGTGAGCGATTGTTAGATGTTCGGAATCTTCGCCACTAGCAGCTCAGGTCCCGGTTTGCCACGAACGCTACTTCGGCCAGCCAGCATCAAGCGAGGATGCCTGGCATGGGCTGGGTTTCGCGTCTCCAGCAAGCGACCGAATGTGGGACTTACAAGGCGAATTCAAACAACAGATCACTTCTGTTTCGGCCCACTCTTAATTAAGTAGAGACTATACTTAATTAACTAATTAAGTAAAGGACAAATTTGTTCACTCCTAGCTAGGACGCACGTTTCTTCAAGGAAGCCTGAGGCACTGGGGGAGCGTCCGTGAAGAAGCGCTCGCACTCAAATCATTGGTTCATAGATTTTTAGGAAAAGTTAACCTTTTTTGAATCTCCCCCTTTCGACCGACTGGATGACCCCGCCTGGAGGCACCTGCACCTGATGAAAATGGCTTGAAACTGCTTGGAGACTCCAATGTGACTCTAGCTCAGGTCTTTTCATGGATGGACGTGCGCCTGCGCAAAGGGCTGTGGGCTCAAAGTCACGTTGGAAATCAGGAAGAGGCCAGTGGCCAAGGACCCTGACAAGGGAAAGCGGAATGGTGGTTTGCCAAAAGATCTCAAAAGTGCTGGTCTAGGAGACAGTAGAAAAAAGTTCCCATTGAACTCCTACAGCCAACAGGAGGTTCAAACTCCAGTTGGCGCTTGGCAAAGCTGTACAGCTGCTTCGTCAGCGCAAGTGTTGAACGTCCCTCACTATCAACACCTCGAACTCGAAGCTTCTGGACGAACTTCTATTAGACAGCTGGTGTCATAGCATCGGCGAAGGTTCCGGAAAGCTTGAGACGTCGATGACGAAGCAACACAGCTTCAACAGCGGAAAGCTCCAGTACATATCGCATTAAATGGCATGATGTGGCATCATTGTGGCCCATGGAAGGTCTACAAACCAGGACTTGGCCAAACTGCTCTGCCTGCCAGAGAGCAGGTCCCATCCCCAGAGTTCTTGCCCTGCAAGCGCCCAGAGCCGAAGGGCCTTGGACGCCGAACATCCAGGTGGCGCTGAAAAACATGGTCAACATCTGAACTCAAGGCATCTACAACCTTGAAGTCAAGTGAAAATGAAACTGAAAAATATTCAAGTTCGAAGCTGAATTCACCACCCCAAAAACACATCAAGGTCTGATCACCCATCCTTCATTTCCTGTCACCTATCTCAGCTGCTTCTCACAGCTCCCGACCTGTGGCTCCAAAGACATTGAGAGGACCTCCCGACAGTGGGCGCCGCTTCGCCGGTTCAAACGAAGCTTCGCTTCCCGGTGCTTCGCACCTGTCGTTTCTCCTGGGCTTGGCAGACTTGAGCTTCTCCTGGTGTCGCCTGGTGACGAAAGTGGTTACTTCAATTGGTTTCTTTGCGTTTCTTCTCCGTTGTAAAGCAAGCTTTTGACCATTGCGCGTTCACTCTCTTCGAGCACCTTCTTCCGGTTGCCGATCTTCAACGGCACATCGAAAATAGGAGACACCTGGGGATAGGCCAAGATTTGCCCAGTCAAACCCTCAACAGTCAATAGTACACAGGGCAGACTGAAAAGCCATGAAAGCATGGCCAAGCCAGCCCACCATGCCCAAAGAAAAGGGCCAAGGCCGCCAAGCTGCTGCTTTCCAAGGCCCCTCCACCGGCCACCGAAGAATGGCCACCGGCAAACGTGAGCCATCCCAACCAGCAAGCAAAAGGCACCTGACAGGAGGCTGTGGCTGTGGTCATCCGGTGGGTTAACCACTTCAGAGACTGATTTTTGAGGCATTTCTATGTGTGAAGTCCCAGGTTCGCTCATTTCGTGTAAACAGTCCAAATCTTATTACAACCCCGCCTTCACGGTCCACTAATCTTCATATTAGCCGTCTGACTTTTCCATGAAACCAACTGCAAAACTTCAAAGATCGCCTGCCATCAAGACGACCAGGTTGTGACGCAGTCAGCAAAGCCTCCACGTTTTTGCACGGGACCTGCAAGCAAGACGACCAAAGGGTCGCAACAGAACCGCCACATTCTTCCGAGTGCCAAAAGGTGGGGATACTTCGGCCTACTGAAATACCCGAGAAAACCCTGTGAAACCACCAAGACTCAACACTGAAAACAACTGGATTGCCTGCACTCCAGCCACACGTCGCCAGGGCGCCCCTCTGATCCTTGGACCACCCGGTCGCCATTGGCTGCATGGCCGCCGTTTCTTTGTGAATGCAGTTTACCACACAAGGATGTCTTCATGATTTCTACCTTGTGTTCAACAGACATTGTGTGGTAGACTGTAGCAACCGCTGCGATGACCAAACATCGGCAACTTTGCGCAAAAACTCAAAAACTGTCTTTGTCAGCAAGGATCGGTACTTCAGCATCGACTCCGGAGCCAGACAAGTGCAAAGCCCTGTCGGTAAGTGAGGCCTGGAGGCACTCGACCTTGGGAGGGACTGGAACCGGAATGGCCGTGTGACTTGCACGATCACTAGCCAGGTGGGAAGCTGCTTGCCTGGAACATATTGGAACCCAAATTGAGCCCGGCATTCCCCCTGAGCCCAAGGCCTGATTCTCTCCACAAAGCAGCACAGACGATGCAGGGAAAGACTGTGCGCTGAGCGCCTTAAATCTTGAGTCCAAGAGGCAAGCAAAAAATGTTTTCTGGCCTTCTTCCTACTTCTACTCTCAAGCACCATAAGTAGGTGCCGAAATGTCCACAACTCAAAAGGGCTAGTCAACGGCCCGCCTCCAGTCCTAGTCGTCTTGTCTGGGACAGAGTGGCATTTGGAATCACCTGAAGCATCATGCATTCGCAGCACAGCACCACAAATAGCCACGCAAAAGCCTCATCTTTACTGTGAGAAAGGCACCTAGATGCAAGATCCTAGGTACACCCAAAGGCACCTTGAAAAGTTGGTAGGCCGTGCCCAAGAAAAGATCTGGAAATCCAGAAGCAGCGGACCTCAGACGAACAAGGATCCAAAAACGTTGACAGGCCAAGCTGATCTTGCTGTCGTCCAAACCCAATGCATGTAAATATATTGGCAGACTACAAAGCTGATAGACTACGTGACTACGACTACGCATCTGAAACCACAGCATGTTACCGGGAATTGCTCATACCAACCTTTCTCACAGGTCACAAAGCTAGCGGTTCACTATTTATGGCTTTGACCAGTAGACTGGCACTCCAAACTCATCGAGTTATGTCAGGTATGTCTGTCACATCGTCACCCAGCCTGCAATGCATCACTTCAGCCCGGAAGACGGCAGGATGCGGCCATTGCACTGGCCACCTGGACATCCAGCCGGCAGACTGGACCCCCGAAGGGACTTTGTTGGGCTTCGTTCGGCAAGATTCATTCGTTCAGCCTCCTAGCTTTCATTGAGCCTCCGTGGCCTTGATTTCTACCCTGTCCAAAAGGAAATCATTGCCAGAAGATACGGCACAAACAGAAATTGGCGACCCCTTGTTACAAGCCCCCTTTGCACCGAAACAAACAAAAAGAAATCAAAAAGCTGTTGTCTTGGCGACGTGTTCAGCACGCCGCAAAGGTGGTCCTTCGAACCGTGGGCGACTGGCCTCTGAAACCTCCAACGGCTGGATGAGAATCCCAGCATGCTCAAAAGACGGCGATGGTGATCAGCAGGCATCTCAGGGTTGGACCACGACTCGCCTAATGTGATGTTCTATCAGCATGAAACAACGCACCAGTAACCTATGCTGGGCCCATGCCGGGCGAAGGACACACCGCCGAGAAGCACCAAACACAGATCTAGACGCATGATTCGAATTGGTGCACTTGCACTTGCAGGTCTGCCACTTCCTTTGTGCAACCCGTCCTCGATTTCGTCTCCACTTGCAATCTCCTCATCGATCATCTCCTCAACATCATCCATTTCTCGCATCTCTTCAATCTCCCTCAGCAGGATCAGGAGTCTGAGGTCACAATGATGGACACAATAGATGGAACTGTTGAAACTTAAAGTGAAGATTTGGAGAGCTTGTCAGCCAAAGTCTATCACAGGTCTCAATCTTGGACTCCTGGACACTCTCCTCGTAATAAGATGTCCCTCTGTGCATCCATGCTGCTTCATCTCCATCGTCTGCATCGGGGGGGGGTTGCGGAAGGGCACAGAAATGGTCTTGTAAATCTGTTTGTAGGGAAGACTTGGTATCAGGAAGGAGTCTACTTGGTATGTTAATAGGTCTTACCGTCTTACCGCAGTTGCGAGTACCTCTTTCATTGAGGCTTCCAACTTCAAGAATGGCACCTGGACATTGATCTGGAACATGCCCAACTCCTCCAAGAAGCTGATGACAAACATCATAAACCAAGCCACCTGAAGACAGCTGCGTGACACTGTTGGCGAACATCTGGCTGCAAACAGTTGGCAGAGATGCCTCACACACTAAACCAAACACGCTACTAGGAGCAAGAAGCTACTAGGGGCTCCTGGCCTTACTACTAGGAGCAAGGACGCTACTAGGGGCTCCTGAAGATTTGTCCGTTGACCAGACGATCTTTGCGGTGTTGGTGCATCTTCGAAATCCCACACTGACCAGCCTGCAGGCTGCGAGTGTTGTAGTACAACACCTTCCATGGCAATCTCCTCGGCAATCGTCAAGAAGTTTGCCAAAGAAAACTGCCGCTTGGATACCACCGGAAACCTCCGCACGTGAATGCCACCCTTGGTGACCCAGGGGATGGTTAGGGGAGATGGCCCCCCTTCCCCTTTCCACGTTACGTGGCCTTCTCAAATCAGAGATGCTATCCAATCCTCATGACATGCTTTACTTTGAAACATAGCTTCCTCGCGGCCCCTTCCTCGCTCGTGTGACCAAACAAAGCCACCCCATGCTGCCCAGCATCTGCAAGTGTGCACCGTCGCTGGCCGGAAGCCACTGGCCACCGTTTCCAGCGATGGAACCTAAGACCACTGGGCCCACTGCGTCTGAAAGGACATGTCTTGCCGAGGCCTTGCTGAATGTCTTGCGGAGGCTTTGGATGCGTTTTCGGGCTCAAGTCTCACTTCCAATTCTTCGATACCAATTGAACAAAGGGGCACCCAGCACTTTTGCCTGAGGCACTTCTCCCTCGTTGAGGACCATCTTCACTAGTGTCAGAGTCTTCTTCGCTGGAGCTTTGCATGCTGCTGTGTGATCGGCTTGCGCCTCTTCCTGCACGGGTTTCTGCAGCATGCTGAACAAATTAGCACCACATTCTGCGGCTTCCCCCCCAAATCCTTCAGAGCGAGTCTCCCAACACGACCCAGTGGGAGTTCGTCCCAGCACGCGCAGTGCAGATCCGAAAACCTCCTTCCCGGCCTAAGAGCTTTCGGACCTTCGACTCGGCAGATTCCACCAAATTCTCCACTTCCCCCAAGGTCAGGATCTCAATGTTGGAATGTGAGCCCGTCTCAATCACTCCCTCCTCAAAGAACCAGTCAGCGTGTCACTGGCTGCCCCCAAAAGCCAACTGCAGCGAAAGAAAATAAATGAGACGTCACCTTTACAAGAAACAGGCAATCCATTGGAGCGCTTTGCTTTAATGACTGGAAAGCACCCTGTGTCTCAACCTGTTTCATCTGCTCAGCTCCTCCAGGTTGAAGTAGGCCTCGTTTGTTCAATACTCCCAATGACCAAACAAATGTTTCTTGGAAGTTCAAATATCTTCCCGCAAAAGCCTTTCAAGAAGCGGTAAGAACTCATTCTATCAGGACCAGTTGCTGTGCCGTTGCCAGAAGTGAACCTCGCAAACAGGTGTGCAAGCAGGGAAGAAGCTACCGTTAATGCGTCAATGTGCAACAGGTGTTCCTTCAACCACAAGCTCTCAAACTGGGCGCCAGCGCAGCTCACCCCGTGCTTTCAAGGAACGGTCCGAGCAGCGATCCCGAAAATGGATCCTCCTCCTGCGGGCGGAAACGTGGACCGGGCGGAAACGCGCAACGACTGACTGGCTAGGCTCCTTCTCATCATTATCCAGCTCCTCCCATGATCGCTGGTCATCTTGCAAGACAGCACCAGCCTTCCAAAAATCAAATTCTTGTGACCAAGCAAGCAGAATGTTGATGTTGAGATCTGACTGAGCAAGCTGAACAACTCCTTTTCTGATCGAGTAGTCTAAGCAAATAATAGATGTTCATGCCTCCTTGCCTATCAACCAACACCAACAATTGTAAATTTGGGCTGGCTTCCTTGCAGCGAAGAACGCATGACCACATGCCTTGAAGCGCGTAGAGATCTGTCCCAAGAAGGACCCACGCGTGAGGACATACTTGTGCCTGTGCGCTTCATTCAATTGTCTCCAAAACAACGGCTTCAGGACCACCCAATCATTCAATCATTCCTCATTTGCTGCTCGGACAGAAACTCAATCTTAAAAAGATACAAAGAACGTTGCGCTGGTCCTTGCAAATGTAAGGACAGAAATCACACACAAGTGACTTTCTACGATTCTACATCTTGAGCGGGCGATGCGTGGTGCTTGAGCTGTGAATGTCATACCCAGCCTAAGCCGCGCGATCTCCTCCTTCGTCTGAGCCTTGGACACACACACAAAAAAAAAAGAATGCTCACAAACTAAACTCTCTTAACACCTCGGTGTTATGCCGATCCAAACATTGTTGGCTGAACCGTTCGCAGGTCGAGCTGTATGTATTGTGTTCAAGAGCTTCTTGCTGCTTGTGATTCTCCCTGTGATTCTCATTTCAGGTTTTCGTGGTTTGGCTCTCTAGCTGCTAGCTTTTGCCTTGAACAGCTTCAACTTCAAAGTGGAGAATTGACCATGAACGGTCGATCGATCAAATGAACGCTGAGAAAAAGAAGATCCCCCCCCGCCCCCCCCCGTACACAATCTCCTGTAGAATCCACGACTGTGGAGTTTTCGCACTCACAGTGCAGATGGATCACGGGGCTGTGGCGAGTTCACCCCCCACACCGTGGCTTCGTCTCTTCCACGCCCCGCGTGGTCCAGGCGTCGCTGGAGCCATCGATCTCGGGCAAGGCCTCCCATCTTCGCAAGGCCACATGAGCCAAGAAGAGCGCCTTGACGACTCGGGGGGCGGACAACAACCTGTGCCCTCTTTGAAGCTCCTAGTCTGAAGTCGGAACCTCTATATACTGTGTATATATATATGCCATTTTTTTGCGCTGGTCTTTGCCGCCAGTTGAATGTCCAGTTACTACTGGTATCTAGGTAGTATTGGGACATTCTGCTATGAAATCTCAAAACGAATTGGCCCAAAAAGTGTCCTTTCCTTCCAGCACTGTGCCAGAAGGAAGTGAGTATATAGGAAACTGTTCAGTGTCCACCGACCGCAGCCTTGTCTGCGCTCAGCACATCTTCCTTCTCCAGCGGCTCCGATGGTCTCAGGCTCACTGTGGTGGTCTGGCCAGACAGGCGAGATCTCCAAAGCCCTTGCAAAACGTTTCAAGGTTTAAAGAGAGACTGGCACAGAATCAAGTTGACAAGGTTGAAACTACTTTCTATATCATATCGGTTGAATAGATTCCTTGCAGAAGTTGAACATGTTTGGAGTTGGGTGGGCTATGGATGTCAGGTCGCCAAAATGAATTCAGGGTCAATGTCAGCGCTCAACTCCGCACCTGGCGACGAAGGAGTCTGGAATCCACCTCGCCTTCTTGGTCCACCCCCACGTCCTGGCAGATCGATGCAGGTGGGATCTACCATCGGGGTTGGGAACCTAGCTAGGTGTGTAATTTGAAAGAATTGGGTACTCCTCGCCAACTCGGTTCGATTATCGTTTTGGAGGAAGGGTTTTCCAACAGGAGGAACGAGACCATTGGGAGGTATTCAGTCATGGCATACAATCTATTATGATGTATTCACTCATCAGCAAAGTCATGCAGCACCAGGTTCCCTTCGTGCTTGAGGTGACTCTGTGAAGCTCTTGTGCACTCATACTGCACACTCTCAGGACACTCATGTTGGATGTTGAGGAGAACACGACCCAGCACCGGCCTCAAAAACATCCAGGAAGATCACTGAGCGGAAAAGTCTTGGCAAGGTCGCCTCCCGTGTGGGTCGTGGTTTCATGACAAATCCTATTGTTCAAGTTATCGTGCACCACAGTGGAGCACATGGAATCCACCATTCTGAATATTCCAAGGACTTCTCAGCTGGTGCAGGATTCTGTCCATCAAGCGCATCGCACAATGTGCCCCAAAAAGTAATCCGTTTTTCCGCTTTTGTTGAACTTACAGAGTACTTAATAGATCTTGTGAATATGATACATCTTTTGTGACCGATCAAACAACCATATCCAATCGTATTAACCAATCAAAAGTAATCCATCCCCTGAGGCCCCGTGCAAGGCAACCAGGCAGTCCATTCGTCTAAATACATAATTACATCGCATAGCACAACATAGCATTAGTTACGTTTCATTACATTACATACCTATTTGACAAACGAAAGCATCACTTGCAATCTATGTGACTTGAACTCTTGGTCTGCTAGCTTGCTTCTGAGGACAAAATAGCGAGAGAGGCAGGGAGGAAAATAGAGAGAGAGAGAGAGGGAGCCGCTCGCAAGTACTCAGATTGTGTCTTCCCCTGCCTTCAGTCTAGCTCCCCTTCAATTCTTTTTTGCTCACGACACGTTGCTCCTCTACACACATGCGACAGCATTCAGCCGTGGAGGCCGGCGGCACACACCAACAGCGGTTAAATAGAGAGAGAGAGAGGGAGCCGCTTGCCAGCAAGTACTCAGATTTTTTTGAGCATGTAGCAGCATGTAAATCACAACACAAATGGGATATCCAGCCTTCTGGAGCGGAAGTATCCCCATCACAAATCTTTGTTGAAGCCCGGGCCTAGTAGCTAGGTAGGTAGCTAGTAGTAGCTAGGTAGCTAATAGGTACACGACGCTCCTACATACGGATGCAGGATAGCTCACGCTTCTTCAAAGAAGCTCCCCTCTGCTGCCCTAAAGGCGGCGGGGGGTGGGGGGGGAAGCGCTCACACTATTCATTTGGTTCCTAGATTTTTAGGGAAACTTAACTATAGCTTCATGCTGCATGCATTTGTTAAAGAATATGAGCAAATCGAATGGGCGACAAGCGCTGGGAAGACTTTCAAGGAGACGTGCTTCATCAAGTCCATCACACCCAAAACATTAAACCAAAGAGGCAGTCAGGTAGATTATCTGCACATGTTCCAGCCTCGTCTGCACTGGGCCATGCCACCCATAAGAGCCCTTCAAACCAGAGAACATTCAAGAAGAAGGCAACAGGGCTCACCTGGGCAGCTGACTCCGTCGCATGGCCCCTGAGTTCATGACCGAATTGACCAAATGTCCGTGGTTTCCTGGGATTATAAGTTTTGACTCGCCACCATATGGCATGGCCCTCAACGAAAGGATGATATGTGAAGCTGGAACAATAACCTCAATAACCTCACACTCAAAAACTTGCAGTAGAGTTGCGTGATACGCATTGTTTTTTCAGCGGAACCCCCTCGTCAGATTTCTTTCCCAGCACCTCATTATCAATTGGTGTAGTCGTTCAAGACGCTCTGCAGAAACACAAACTCATCTGGAATAACTTAAATGACCTCTCTAAAGAACAGCTTCGTAAAAGTGCCCAAACAATTGACCAATCGCCAAGGAACAATGCTAATGGCTGCGATCCATACAGGTATCGCTCCCATAAGCTGAAGCAAGACAATCTTCCTCCCACCTGATCTAACCAGCTGAGCGGTCGGCAAGCGGTCAGCAAAACAAGGGCTCGACCGAGGGAGATTGGGGATCTGCCAATGGCGGAGTTCGGCTCGTGTGGTCTCTCATGGGCTCATTCGGACGAAGCGATGAATGATCAAGCGATGAAGACAATGTACCGTCACGGGCGATGTATTTACAAAGTCTGGGGCCGGGGCCTGGCATTCAGAGTTTCCCAGTTTCGTGTTCTGAACAAAAGCAGGAGTTCCATCAGGTGGCCCAAGCCAGCCATGGGCCACTAGTAACAGCCCTTTGCTCTTTGCTCCTAGTAGCTTCTTGTTACTATATAGTAGTAAGGCCAGGGGCCACTAGCAGCGTTCTTGCTCCTAGTAGCAATGCCCTTTGTTCTTAGTAGCTGTCTTGCTCCTAGTTCACAAGGATTTCCGTCAGGTGGCCCAAGCCAGCCAAGTCCAAATAGGCCAGTGCCAATCCACCACTGCAGAAGCCAGTCAGTAGCGTGAAGCAAACGGTGGGACACCTTGAGAAATCACAAGATGCGTCTTTGGTCACGATGAAATCAAGTGGGCTCTGAATGCGGCTTCAAAAGCTGACCTGTACTGAATGATGGTGGTGATCACCAAATAGTACTGAAGTCCAAGGATAAGCCTGAGCAGGTGCATTTGGAAAAATAGCTTGGTTTACCCGTTCCCAGTTTCCGGCTGGAACCCGGTCCCTGCCCAGCTTCTGCAAAAATTGAATCAAGAAGCTGATTGGCGCCCAAAGCCATGCAAACACGTGCATATGCATCGAAGCACTGCCATTTGCACTGCAACCGGCGGAAGAGGTCCACATGCTTGTTCAATGTACCCTGGATGGTCAACGGGACAGCTGTCGATGTCAACTTCCTAAGGTTTAAAGCCACTAAAACACTCATAGTCGATCAGAGTCCATGACGTTCGACCCCTCCTGCGCTGATCCCAGGATATTGTCTTCCTTGTTCCAAGCTTTGATTCCTGGCAAAGTGTACAACATGTCCGGTGGAACTAGGAGCTTTCTGCCATGCCTTCACCCAGGAGATCTGGATTCTCCTGATCCTGTCAGGTGCATGCATTGGTGTTTAAATGCGTTTCAGACCACAAACCTTTGTCATGGTCCAAGACCAATGCCGAGTCGACCAGGCATCCGACGAGTCGCGCATGTCCTCTTGCACCGCTTGCAGCGGCTGTCGCTGCATCCAGTCTTGCTTGCCACCAATCACCGGCACACGGAGCATGCCTTGCACACCTGACAGGTCGGCCAACCAGACCGAGAACGAGATCAGGGTGCAGATCAAGGCATGGATTGAGTTCTATTTTGCCGACCTCCCCCCCGGCTTACTTCATTGAGTATGGGAGTAAGCTCCTAGGCCAAGTTAGCTTCTAGGTAGGACGCAGGATAGCTCACGCTCGCACTAATGACTTGGCTCCTAGATTTTAGCAATGAGCCTGAGATGAAAAGTTTTTCATGTTGGTAGCTGAGTGACATTTCACCCGATCTTTCGAGTCGACAGAGTCGCGACGGACCTTGCCGCTCAAAGTCAGCCAGCCGAGCATTGAGCACGCCCATCTGGGTCATACCCGGCACAGGGAGGCGCACCTCACTTGGTGCGATAACAAGCGACCAAGTGCCCAACGATTTTGAACACACATTGACAAGTTCCTAGGTAGCACTTCCGAAGCGACCAATGTTGAAATCCAAAGACCGATCAACATCCAGAGTTGCATCAGTTGAGCCATGCCAACAACTTGGATCAAAAAAAGACTTTGCTAGTTGGCTCACAGTGGGCTATGCTGATTATGAATACATGCAATTAGTCCCCATACCTACTAAGCCAGGGAAAGTGCCGTTGAAGGTTTTGAAGTGGCTCAAATCAGGTTTGTCCCTCAAGTGTATGATGTCTGCCGGCAGGTCACAAATCTTGTGAGCAAACGCACTCCAAAGCTATGAGAGCAGATTGAGGCGTGCATACTAAGCCACACAGCCATCAGCAGGTACCTCTGCTTATGAGTCTGGGCCAGCTCCAAGAGTTATCTTTCTGCATTACCTCTCATTGAGTTCATTCTGCAGACTCCATCCTCTGGAGCCTCCTTGGGCAAACAATCTGAGCCGCTAACATAAAGGCACTGGCAATGGAGATGTACAGGAGGGACAGAATAAAGGGTGGCGCCACATGGTGAATGCGCCCTTCGAAGTACAATGCCATCGAAGATTCCATGAACAAAGCAGCGACCAAGTGATACATTTCCATCTTTCCAACGGTCAGCTCAACCAAATCTCTGATGTCCTCTAGCTGTCGAAGACAAAAGAATCCGCAAAACAAAGTGGAATGCGTGAAACAAAGCAAAACCTTACACTTTCCAGTAGCCATCCAGCGAATTCATGAGTCAAAAAAATATGTCTCCTCTCGGAACAAGCTGAAGCGCTTCAGCTGCAGGATCTGCCGCAAGAGTTCTCTGCTTAGGCGTTGCTCTTGGTCAAACTGGAAGTTCTCACCTGAAACCAGTGAACAAGTGCAGAACTTCTTGGACACACTGGCATCACTCAAGATAGGGCTGACAGGGTACGGTTGTAGTCAAACATATTCTTGGCAGCCATGCCAAATGTCGCGAGGAACCTCACCCACCAAGACTTAGCCAGAGTCAGTCAGAGTTCAGGAAGTGTTTTATGATTTATGTGCGCAAGAACATGGACCAGATTTGGCCACGTCTGTTTGGCTCCCAAGGCACTCCATGGCTATCCTCCTTCACCAGCTGTCCGGCAATCTCGTGAATCCTCTTCAGGGTGAACGGTGCGGACATCGACGTGACGCGCCGCACGTTCGTCGTGCCACCCGAGACTGCGCGACGCGACGTGATGCACCGCCTGGGGAGTCGACCTGCTCGCGGTCGAGTGCTTTCGGCGTCTCTGGGCCGAGACTGCGCGAGACATTGGAAGATGCTGCATGTACTCCGTGCAATTGCCAAGTTCCTTCCATTCCAAGGAAACACATGGTTGCGAAGCCTGACTTGCCTGCAACCAACAGCATTCCCTGAATAGCACAGAGGCCCTAGACCCCAGATGATCCCTGACGATCCCACATGATCCCAGATGCAGAGAACCTCGTATGTCTTTCCATATGTGTCCCAAGCAGTACCAGTTACGTCAAAAAAGATGCCACGGAGTGCTCCAACTGTGGCCACAACTGGGCCCAAGCGGTGCAAATCCGTTGACGTCCCAGGGTCAAGACCTGGCGACACCAAGCAGTGACATCAAGCGGTGCACTGCTTAACCCTTGTGACCCGCACTTCACAAGGATGATAGTCATATCGCCAAGTCACGAAATGGTCAAAATGGAACCGTTCTACATTTTACACCTCAATTTACTATCCACTGAATTTGGAGCGCCCGATGCTTCTCAAAATACTCAAAGTGGATAGTTACAGTAAACATATATATCTTTGCGAGCGAATGCAGGTGTCTATCTGGTGTCTATCTCATCCGCACCAATTGACACATGAACTCCAGGCAGAGCATGTAACAAGCGTCAAAGCGCCCCCTTTCCTTTGGTCAGAGAGTGCCTCTAGGTCTAGGATCGTTTGGCTGTCTTGTGTGGCAAAGGCTTGCCGCTTTGCCCAGCCGCGGAACCTCTGTGATCAGTTGCATCAGTTGGCAGCTGATCAGCTTGATGCTTTCGATCAAGGGACGAATTCACTTCCACCTGACTGTTCGTGCAAAGTATGAGTGACTCATACTGCCTGTGAATTCTTCGGGGAGCTCTGTCTGTACAAGCTTTACAAAGGCCCCACTGTAAGCTTCGTGATAAAAGCCTTCAGAAAAGTCTTCAAAAATTGCGCAATTAAATGAAATACTAAAAGACTAAGGCTCACACTGCTCTTGTCGCCCCACAGTCCACGACTTCGAGTTCGTCATCTTTCATCTTGAAGACCCTCTCAGCGAAGCCTGCGTCGACCATGGCCTGTGTAATGTGGGAGGAGTTGTTGATCACGGACATGCGTGCAAAGCCCTCGGTCTGCTTCAGCGCAAGAACGGTATTGAAGAACTTGGCTTCCACCTCTGGTGCCCAGCCGGCAGTGGCTTGGTCCAAGAGCAGCAGGGAAGGCATGCGATAAATGGCCCGCGCGAGGCAGATCCGTTGTGCCAGCTCCGGGTCCAGGCTCCGCCGTTCCCCAAGCTGCGTCGAGAGGTTCAGACCATCCGGCCCCTCGGAGCCTTCAGAGACTTCGTACTCGTCCAAATGAAGACGAGCCAGCCTTGCAGCTTGCAGCAGTTTCTCCTCATCGATCTCCTTGGCGCCAAAGCAAATGTTCTCTCGGACAGTGCCCATCAGAATGCTTGGTGTTTTGGACAAGACAGCTGTGCGGTTCTTCAGGCGTTGCACTGCAAGCCATTGAGGCCCTTTGTAGTTCTCAGGACGTAGCTCAAGGCCATGGCTGCCATAGCCATTGAACAGCTTCAGGAAGTCAGGCATAGGGCCACCTTCCTCACTGGTGAAGGACACCAAAGATCCTTGTGGGATTCGGAAGCCAGGCGCCACCGTGACGTCAGACACCTCTCCCTGTTCAGGTTCCTGGTGATCCAACACCACACCATTCATGAGGTTGCGGCTGAGGTTCCTCTGCCAGTCCCACAGCAATTGCTTTGGCTGTTCGTTTTTGGTCTCCAGAAATTCCGCCACACTCTGCGTGGCGCCGGACAGCTTGGTAATTTCCTTCACGAACGCTCCAAGTTTGGTTGTTGGAGAGGCCAGCTGCGTAAAGAGCGCCACGATGCCGGTGAAATCCCCCACGGTCAAAGTCCCTTTAACAGCCATGTTGGCCAAGATCACCACATGAAGGGCCACAAAGAGTTGAAGCATCTGGGTGATGTAACCTCCCACGACGCCCGACCAGAATTCCACGTGGCGCTTCGAGCGTTTCACCTCTAAGCTGCGGGGTAAAAAGATCTGCTTCATCCAGGCTTGCTGCCTGTCGGTATGCCAAATCATGGAATGGCACGACAAGGCATTGGAGAAGACCGCACCCACCTTCGAAGAAGCATCTTTGAAAGCTGTGGAGGCCAGCTTCGACCTGGAAGCAAGGTATGGCAGCCAGAAATACAGGCAGCGTCTTCTTCTTGGTCAGTTGAATCTGTTTGTCTACGTTGTATCTACAATTAAGTTTAAACGTACATGCAAGCATGCTACATACATGAAACTCGGATCGATCTGCTCATTTCGGCTCCTTCCCACCTGGAGTCGGGGACAGTGGTGAAAATGAAGGGAAAAATGGTCATGGCCAAAAATCCCACTTCAGCTCGCACATAGGTCACATAGCCCAGCGCGATGGCCAGCTTCACGAAAGGTGCCAATAATTGCTTCAGCATCATGTTCATGAGTTTCTCCATCCGTGCGATGTCTGATCGAAACACATCTTGGCAATCTTCATGAGAAAACTTGGACGACTCGTTGAATTCCATGTAGATCATGCGTTGACTGATCTTGGTCTGCAGTCTCACAAGCCCTTCTGCGAGAATGATCGCTGTTACATAGGTCAACATCGCGAAGGGTAGTGCTGCGCTGACAATCACGGCCATGTAAACCCCTGATGAAGACATCACTGCCCCAGCATCACCTCTCGTTACAGCATCCGTCAAATGCTTGACTGCTGCCGCTGTAGCTGGGATGGCCACCGCATCCAACACCGCCACAAGCAAGAAGCAAACCACTCCGATGCGATGGGCTTTCCAAATCAAAAATAGCCCAAGCATAGTTCCATCGAGCATGCTCTGTTTTTTCTTGCTTTGCTTGGCTTTGCCGTCTTGTTTCTTCTTTGCATCAGTCAGCTCTGTGTCACCAGTCGGTAAGGGCCTCGCCAGCATGGCTAAGGCAGCCAAGATGGTCATTGCATAGTCCACATGCTGGATTGCTGCTGCATAGCCATCAGGCAGAAACTCCTTTAGAAGCTGCACCGTCATCAGGAGTGCCAGCAAGGCAATGTGGCATTGCAATGTCCGATCTCTTCCAGAAGAAATCCGCCACCCAATTTCTCCCAGTAAAACAAGGCCATTGACTCCAATTGACACCCAGCACAGGTAACGGTACCATTGCATCTTTGCAAAGAGCTCGTCATTGGTTAGCAACTGCAAGTACAACGACAGCCAGGCGAGCAGAAGCAAATAGAGCAAACCAATGAAGTGCAGCGTTGCCAAAAGAGACTGAGAACATGAGGAAAGCTTTGCAAAAAGCTTTGTAAGCAGCTGGAGCCTAGCACGTGGTTGCTCCACACTTGTCACACTCTCACTGTTCAGTCCCAGCTCCGGATCGACTGCGGCTTGAAGGGTGCGCACCAGCGCTGACTCCGGCATCTCTTCTGCAGGTGCCATGGCCCTCAGTGATTGAAACCTAGAGCCAACTTGGAATGAACTGACAAGAACAAAGTGTGTGAGTACATGTCTTTGCATACTGTTGCCTGTGCGCTCGAGCCGGTTGCTATGTTTTGAAGCATCCAATGAGTTCAATTGTGTCACCGGTGGTATTGAAGAACAGGGCAGCACACTCTGCTGGCCCCGTTCACAAATGTGCCGGGCGCACCAAGTAGGCCTTCTCAATACTTCGCTCCAACTTGGCCTTTCTTTCCGCTGATCTTCCAGAAACAGTCAGCAAAAATGGATACGTCGGATACGACCAGCAAGTGTATTTCTTTGTACAGTAGAGAATCTGAAAAGCCTTGTAGGCTCAACTGAGCCACACTCCAACCGGGTTCAGGACCTCCGCAGCTGCTAGCTCGAGGACTCTGTGGTCCTTCGAAGTGGGAGCACACCTGGAGATACGGTCTGCCGGGTTCTAAGGTGATGGACATGGTCCAAACCTCCAATCAATACACATTCTGTGGATCGAGTTTGCAATCAATTACAGTGGTCTCCAATGCGCATTAGTCAATGTCCTATCTGTAGATCCTTTGTTGTCAGACCTGTCTTTGGTTCGTTCGTCTCTTTGCGAGGAAGCCAGAGGTTTTTTCAGCAGTGTCAGGAAAGAGGTTTCTGCCAAACCTTAGCTGTCGCAAATCCTTCCTTTTGGTCAGAAACATCTCCATCTCTGCAGGGTCTCACCCTGCCTGGCCAGCACTGGTTCGCGCTTCGGCATTGGGCACGGCCCGGCCCACAGCGGGGCCACATTGGTGGAAATTAAGTGAGTGAGGGCCCAAGCTGGGGGGGTCGGTGAGGAGTTTGCTAAGTGCAAGTCTCATGGGCCTTCTCTGACGGATTTCTCAAGTCAAGTGTTTTCTGCTCCAAAACCTTTCAGGGCGGACGAGAAATTTTTCACAACGAAGCAACAGCCAATTACAACACAAAACAACATTGGTCTGCTTCTGCTGGCCCAATGCAGTTATATCAAGTGAAATCACTTCGTGACCTTGATCAGGCGTCCCAAACCGGTATTCAATGCTGCGACGAGTGACGAACTGAAACTGAAACACTCCTAATAGCTTCTGGTTCCTAATAGCTTCTTGCTCCTAGTAGTACGGCCAGGAGCCCCTAGTAGCGTCCTTGTTCCTAGTAGTAAGGCCAGGAGCCCCTAGTAGCGTCCTCTTGCGTCACAAAAGCACCAGATCTGCCTAACTTGCATTGCCTGTTGACGTTCGCCAATACCATGGCCTCTTCTTGCGTGCAGGGCCATAAGATGGCGATCCTCTGTACCTACCTGGAGTTCCACGCGGCTCGTGACACGGATCCATCGGTCACTCACCACGTTGCAGCTGAGTGACCCATGATCTCGTCCATCCATGGCCATGTGACCCATGGCTCGCTCTTGGAGGAGAGACCGGTGACGGGTGTTTACCGATGGCTGGTTGATGCCTTTGGGGGTCCGAGATGTCCAATCGAGGGCAATTGATCATCACCAAAGCTATTTTGTGGCTGGTTGACAAGCAACAGCTACAGTACGTGGGGGCACCAGTGCCTGTGCCAATCCAAGCAAAATACTGCACAAAAGGAAATGTCACCAAGACAACGACTGCTTTTCACACCGAACAGCAGAACTACATTTATGTTCTGCCATCCCTGCAAAAGCCCCCCTCATTGAGGGCCTTGCACTTCAGGGAGTGAGATGGATTTTGCAACTTGAAAACTCTCATCCTGCTTAGTTCCAATGCTCCTCTTCTCAAACGAGAAGACTTCCAGGCTTCACCCACGTCTTTGCACAGGCTGAAGCCCACTTCTCCGATTCATTTCACGCTTCTCTCAACGAGCTGGATCAACTTTTCCAGCTTCGCAGCATCTTCTCCTGCACCGCCTGGGGGGGGCTTAATGGTTTCGGCGACCGCAAACATGCGCTGGGCCCGCTGGGTCTGGCGTTTTGTGACAAAGGGCCTTCGTCTTGGTTTCATGGACAAAGTCTCACAAACACTGAAAGCACGGAATGGCATGTCCAAAAAAGGGTGCACTTTTCATTCGGGAACGTGTTTCATGTTTTTTTTTCAGCATGTTTTTTTCAAAAACATTGGAATAGCGCAGGTTTCTTATTAGCACCTAGCTAATTACAGCAATTGCGTGTTCTTAGGAGAGACACAGGTGTCGTAGCTGGCCAAATACTTTGGAATAGCGTGGGTGTCAGAGAAATTCCTACCTATCACAACAGTTTGGTGCAGTTAGCAGAGAAACAGTAGAGAGAAAGAGAACTAGCACAGGAGGCATATATGGTTGGTTAGAATTTTTGCCCCGGGGAGTTTACCTTAAAAAATTGATTTCGTGGCAGGCGCGGGTGTCGGAGATGAAGTGCAGATTTCGTGGCGCG